ACCTTCAATGAGGCTCTTCTGGAATTCTCCCTGGGGCAGAAACCTGAGGCTAGGTGGAGAGGAAGCCCTTCTACCCAGGTGACGTTTCCATGGGCACAGCCACTCTCAGCTACTCAGCCACTGGCTGTGATCCATTCCTCTGGGCATGGGGCCTATGGGTGTGGCTAAGCCACAGCTGGCCATGGGTACTTCAAAGATGGCCCCGGGCCAGGTGTAGTGGCTCAGGCCTGCCACCTTAGCTCTTTTGGGAGGCTGAGTGAGGCAGGAGGATCATTTGAGGCCAGGAGTTAGAGACCAGCCTGAGCAACATAGTAAGACCCCTGTCTCTACAAAAAAAAAAGAAAAATGTAGCCAGGCATGGTGGCATCTACCTATAGTCCCAGCTGTTTGAGAGGCTGAAGCAGGAGGATCACTTGAGCCTGGGAGTTGGATGTTGCAGTGAGCTGTGATGATGCCTGGGTGATAGAGCAAGGCCCTATCTTGGGAGGTTGTGTGGGGAGCCTTTATCTGAAGTCTATGGCCAGGGTGGTAGGGCCAGAGTAATTCAGGACTTCCCAGCTGGGGTCCTAGGGTGGGCAACTGAGGGGTCCATGGTGATCCTGGATTGGTGTGTGACACTGTAAGATGGGTAATGAGAGCTTTCTGGAGAGAGGCCCACGACTTCCACAGAGAGTCTCCTCATGCCTCCGCTCCCCCGCTCCCCAATAGAGTGCACTTTACTTTGTCTGATAAAGGTTCATGCTCACTTTTCATAGCCAGAAAGAGGCAGAGGTCGGGTTGGGGCAGAGGAGGGGACAGCCTCTTTTCTTAGTCCATAAAAGAGACCCCTTTTAAGATCCTGGTTTACAGATTATAAAACTTGTAAACTATAAATTGGCTTTGTCACCCTCTACTCATAGGAGTTTATGACTTCCCCGTTGTTAGAACAAAACCAAGGCCAGCCTTGGCACCTCTAGGTTTCTCCCACAGTGTCATCTCCCCTACCCCCTTGCCCTCCAGGCTCTGGCCACCATGACCTCTCGATCCTTACAGCATGCTGCTTTCTCTCCTGCCTCAAGGCCTTTGCACTAGCTGTAACAGCTTCTGGTTCTCTCCCGCCAGATCTCACCCCAAATGTCACCTTTTCAGAGAGCTCCTCCCTCTCACCCCCTCTCCAATCTAAGTCACGGCTTCGCCACTGTTTTTTTCCTGCTATACATTGGAAGAACGAGAGTTGCCTTGGGCCACACATTAAAAACACAAATACTCACAAAAGATGATGGGGGAAAATATGTTCGTGAATGATTTTTGTAATATCAGACACCACAGATAAGGAAAACAGGCCTGATTTAATCTGCATGTGGCCCACCAGTTGCAAGTTGGACACCCTGCATTACCTCTGTCACACTACCCTGTTTGTTATCTTACATTGCACCTGTCACTCTGGATTTATTGTGCATCTCCTCCCTCCACTGGACCATGTGCCCCTTGGGGAGTGGGGTCCTTATCTGTCTTCTTCTGGCAGGATCTCCGAGATTAGTTCAGGACCTCCCACACAATAGGTGCTCAGCAAAGGAGCTAAATGAATTTGTCTTCCAGATAATCCTTTCTGGTCTGGATAAAGGGCTGACTAAGGGTTATTCATCACACAGGGGCTCTTCATCAAGCAAGCTCCAGGTGCCGTGCTACGTGCTTTGCATGTGTGGTCCAATTTGATCTCATAAGCAAACTGTTGAGTTAAGAATGCAAACCAGGGATTGTTTACAGGGCTAAGAGGTATCCACTGTAGATTGTAGTGCTGGGAGGGAGCTTTGAGTCATCTAATCTCAATTTTTTTTTATTTTTACATTCTAAAATTTCAGATTAGCGTGTGGGGTACAAACAATTAGATCCCATAGTTTGCATTTGTAAGGGTAAAGTCTGATTTGTAGGTATATTCTCATCCAGGTAGTATGCCTGCCTGTGCAATGTACCCACTGAGTGTCTAGTCCCAATTTTAAATATGAGGAGACTGAGATCCAGAGAGGAGAAGGGACTTGCCCAAAGTCACATAGTGGGCCAGGGAAGAGTGAGGAATAGTGGCCAGATTATAGGATGTTTTCTGGGGACTTTTCCTTGTTGATGTATTGAGATGGGCCCTGCTGTATCTTTAAGAACAAGGAAATAGGGCGGCGCCTTGTGGCTCAAGGAGTAGGGCGCTGGCCCCCTATGCTGAGGGTGGGGGGTTCAAACCCAGCCCCGGCCAAAAAAAAAGAAAAAAGTTAAAAAAAAAGAACAAGGAAATAAGTGAACATGCTATGTTTTAACTAACCGCATCAAAGCTGCTTATCCTTTTAGGAGTCTTTGGCAGGCTGTAGCATCATAATAACTACTAATAAAAGTGTTCACAAAAGCCCGTTATTGAATACCTTCTACGTCAAGCATTACACACACATAATTTTATGTAATCTTGCAAGGTACAGAAGTTTCTGTCCTTTATTTTAAAGATGCGAAACTGAGGCTCAGGGTGGTAAACTGACTTGTCCTGGATCATACAGCTACAAAGCTCCAAAAATACAGAACCTGCGTTTGAACCCCAAAATAATTAGGTGGTGGTAGTAGCAGGGAGGACAGCGCCACCTACCGGGCTCGTGGCAGCGGGAGCGGCAGTGGCAGCGGCAGGCCCTCAGTGCGCAGGCTCAGGGGCCGTGTGGCTCGCAAAACCATCCAGCAACCAACAAAACCGAAGGAAAAGGTCCTTCCTGCCTTCTTCTGTAACCTTCTGCAGATGACAATAATTGGATCACTGTCCGGGCAGTGTCATTGACTCTCGGTGAGCTAGAAACTGTTGGTATCCCCGCTATCTGGACCAGTAAACTGAGCCTCAGAGGGGTAAAGGGATTTATTTGCCCAAGTTCACTTCGCCAGTAAGTAGCAGAGCCAGGACTTCAATGCTCGATCGCATCACATAAACATATCCTTGGACTTTTATTTAACACTAAGGCAATTTACCCTGCTTCAAACATTTATAACTGCTTTACAAATAGCAACTTTTGAGTTAAGCCTCACAACAGCCATGCGGGGTGGGAGCTAGCAAGACCTCTGAGTGAAGGATAAGGAAACTGAGGCTCTGAAAGATGACGTGAGCTTCAGTTCCTCATCTATATTACAGATGTGTTACAATGGTTTGAAATACTATATTAACACAGGCTTAGTGAGTTTTAATTAAATGAATCAACGAGTAAATGAGCGAACCCTGCTCAGATGTGGGGACTGATTTGGGTTGGCCTGGGTCAGATAAAACAGGTTTCTGTTAGTGGGAACGCCCTGGCAGTGGGTGTGCTGGAAGACAGGCTCCCTTTGTCACCTGGCACAGAAGTAGAAAAAGCTTAGGGGAGATGTGTAGTTAGACGTGAAACCCCAGTGCCCTCTCATCTGGCTGGGTCACCCTGGGGGAGTTCCTTCACTGCCTCTCCCAGGGTATTCAATTTCATGATCCCCCCATCTCAAGTGGTTGTGAAATGATGTGTGTAAAGCACTTTGGCAGGGCCGGCTATACAGCTGGCACTCAATGTGTGTTCTTTCCTCCCTGCCTCAGGCAGAACTCAGTCCCACTTTGACAGGGAAGAAGGGGAAAGGCCTAGATGTACTGCTGGCTTTTGTCTCTGGAATCAAAAACTCATATTGTTTTCAGGGTCCTAGCCTGGGAGTGAAGGAGGCTGGCCTGGGAAAAACTCTCCCTTGGACGAGGGAATTGCCCTCCCAATCTTACTGTATTATGTCTGAGACACAGAGAGAAGATCATTTTGAAAGGAAGAGACAGATTTGCCTGCAGAATGTTGTATTTGTAGGAAACACAAAGGAAAAAAATCTAAAAGAGCTTGGAAAAAACAGAAGCAATCCTAATATCAGCAATATTAGAAAATAGGATGAAATTGGAGACAGGAAGAAACTTAGTTCTACCTTGAACCTCTTGGTCATGCCAGAGGGAGCTTTCCAAACTGGATACCTGCATGTATCTGGATGTGTTAGACTGTGCACAAGAGCCTTGAAGGTATGCCATAAGTTTCAGTGTCAAGTTCAAAATTCTTGATTGTTCAGTGTCAGACACACACACAGTCAGCTCTAGGTCAAGTCACCAGGTATTTGCCTATTCCCTGAAGCATCCCCTGCCCTCCTCTGCTAGGCCCTTCACACTCCCCCGGTCTCAGTACAAGCCTCAACTCACGAAGATGTATCCCAGAATGTGGCTTCTCATCTATGGCCCCAAACTCCTATTAGGCATTGAACACTGTATATCACCTTTTTTTTTTTTTGAGACAGAGTCTCAAGCTGTTGCCCTGGGTAGAGTGCCATGGTGTCACAGCTCACCGCAACCTCAAACTCTTGGGCTTAAGTGATTCTCTTGCCTCAGTCTCCTAAGTAGCTGGGACTACAGGTGCCCATGGCAATACCCAGCTATTTTTTGTGTGTGTGTGGCACAGCTGTCATTGTTGTTTTAGCTGACCTGGGCTGGGTTCGAACCCGCCAACCTTGGTGTTTATGGCCAGCACCCTACCCACTGAGCTATGGGCTCCACCCTGTATCATCATTATTGATCTACTGATCCATCTTGCCCACTAGACTATACACTTGGTAAGAGCTGGAGCAAAGTAAAATAAATATTTCCCTCTAAACGTAACTCTAGTATCAGCAAAAAACCAAAAAAATCAGCCCATGATAAAGTGCAAATAATCATTGGGCAATAGGTCTCAGAAGGTAACAGGGATGGGTGAGGCAAAGTGGAAAACAGATCCCACTCCTCCTGCCCACCCCAAGATATAGTTATCTTGCAGCTCCTGCCAAGCAGCCTGATTTTTCAAAAGAAGCTGAAAACCCAGTTTTTTTTAATGTGAAATTCTCCAGTTTCTCAATGTAGCAATCAGATCTATTTTTTAAAACCATGGAGGCCAGAAAATAGGTCCTTGGCAAAAGTTGGTAAAGGTTGCCAGCTATCACCTCTGATGGGGGGGCAGAGTTCAAGAACCAAAACAGCACACAGATGTGATTCCAAAATAGAGATTTATTTATTAAGGATTATTTAGCTTTTGCATAAAAATCACCAGTTATTCCTCATTGGGTTTTTTTTTTCAATACACATCAATTCTTTGGGGGGTTGCTCTTTTTGCCCCCACACTTTAAAAAATACAGCTCTTTTTAATGCCAAGGACAGTTAAGGCAGTGAGGCATTTCCTTGGGTCTGAGCAGATGGAGGTTTCATCACTCCTCCTCAAGAGAATGCACATAGTAGGCAGTTTCTTAGGTTGGAAAAGCTGTCCCTGAAGAAAAGAATTATGCAGAAGAATGCAAATACAGTCATCTATGGACAATTGTTTGTATGCCACTGCTTTGTAAGAAACGCCTCTTGGTCATCAAAGGCTTGCTGGTTGGTTTCAACTAAAAAAAAAAAAAAAACTGTCTGGCAAAACACAGAGAGAACAGGGTTTATAATGATGGTGGTTGGGCTGTGCAAACCACAGGAGCACACACACCAGTTTGCCTTTTTAAAAACCCCACAATAGGGGCCCTGCATAATTTCAAATCAAATTCTTCATAGTCGTTGAAATACCCCAAAAATCATTTCAGTAAGATCCTCAGGAGGACATGTGCTTATTTTTAAAGTGAGGCGGACGATGCCATTTCCCCAGAGCCATGTTCTTTGTTGGAAAAAAACCAAAAAACCCTAGGACTTGATTTATTAGAAACGTTAATCGATTTTTACCACACTGAAATGAAGGTATAAAGTCAGTCTATGCTGTTTGTGAAATTCAGAAGAGATTTGGAAGATCGTTATTTATTGCTCCACTAGAATAGACCAGAAAAAGATGACTTTAAAAAAAAAATGGGGCCATCCCCTGTAGACCCCAGCAGGACCCTGGTAGCTCTGGGAGATGCAGGCCAAGGCAGCCCAGCGGCTTGATTCACAGTGATCGGGTTTGCCTTTCTGCAAGTAGCCATATGTCGGGGCGAGCCCGCAGTTGGGCGTGCCTACACCTTGTAGTTGAGCTCAGCATTCATCTTGGTGTACATCTCATAGATGACGTCAATGGTGGCCGTGTAGTTAACCAGGAAAAGGCGGATCTTCTCCAGACACTCCTCCTCGGTCACGTTCTGCCCCTTGGAGAGGGCTTTCAGGAAGTCGGACTTATAGGGGGCTGCGTACAGTGCTGCCTTGAAGTGGGCAAGAGGGGAGCAGGTACAGTGTTAGCAGGGGCCAAGACACCAGGCCAGCACTTGGGGGTCTGGGAGGGGATCTTCCCAAGGTCTGTGTTGGGCAGGGGTCTGTGCTACTGGTGACGTTAGAAAGGAAAGGAGAAGAAAAGGAAGTTTTTTCCCTTCTACCCCAGTGCAGGACAGCAAGAAGGACATCAGCCTTCGGGACAGACAGACCTTAGTGCAAATTCCAGCTTGTGCCGCCGACTAGCTGTGAGCCTTGAACAAGTTACTTAGCCTCTCTGAGCCTCAGTTTCCTCATCTGCAAAATGGGGATAATAATGGCACCCACCTAATCAGGTTGCTTTTATTAGGATTAAAGAGGTTGGTCATACAAAGCATTCAGCATTCGACCAGGCATACAGGAGGTGCCCAACACAACACCAGGCACACAATAGGTGCTCATTGTAGGTACACCTCTTCCCTCTGGGATCCCTGGTCTGGAAAAAGTGAACTGCTTCTTGGGAAAATCCACTTTTGGAGCTAGAGAAATGACCACTAATCCATGCTGTGGTCTCTCTTTTGTCCTTAGAGGGATGATACTCCCTAAATTTCAGGGGAGCTCTAAAACTTGTGAAGTGTGGAGAATCAGAAATCCGCAGAATTTTAGAGCCAGAAGAAAACAGATGCAACTGGATAAAAAGCCTAGCCAACAAGTTTGATAGTATGATGAAAGGATAAATAATGTTATCTTTCAGATAGCAATAGCTCTGATTTACTACACCTAAACCATGGGTCCTGAACATTTTACACGTTAACTCATTTAATCTTCACAATGTCCCTTTGAGATAGAGCCTATTTTACACTCATCTCAAGTGGAGAATTTAGGCTCAGGGAGGTAGAACTGCAGCCCCCCTTTTTTGTGTTATGTGACCTTTAACAAGATAATTAACTTGTCACCTTGCAGAACTTTGGTGAAGATGACAATTTGTGGTGCCCTGGGCCAAGCACAGAGGACACATTGTTTTTGAGACTCATTTTTTCCACCCTGGGTGCCATAGTCTCAGCCTAGTGCACTATAACCTGAAATTCCTGGGCTCAAGAAATCCTCCTGCCTCAGCCTCCCAAATAACTGGGATTACAGGTGCCTGCCACCACTCCCAGCTAATTTTTCTATTTTGTCTCTATTAGTAGAGACAAGGTCTTGCTCTTGCTCAGGCTGGTCTTAAACTCCTAAGCTCAAGTGATCCTCCCACCTCAGCCTCTTATAGTGCTAGGATTATAGCATGAGCCACTGCTCTGGGCCAGGACGCATTATTTTTACTGAGGTAGTAGTTGCTCCAAGTGTTTGTAGGGGACAACACTCTGAAGGGAGGGTGTGGATGGCCCAGAGGTGGCTGTATGACCTGCTCCATAACCAGCTCTTCCTATCTGCCTCAACCCAGCCTCCCTGCAACCTGTGCCTTGTATGAAAGATAGTGGCCTATCAGACCCAGATTCTCATGGTTGCAAGGACAGGCAGGTGATAGGAGCTGCAGCAGAAGGGGTGGCTGCACCAGGCTAGGTACTATCCCACAGACTGAGATAAGGGCACAGTGAGAGCCAGAGTGGCCAACAGCAGCCTATAAGGCACCTGGACGGCCTTTTCACATCTCCCCAGTGGGCCTTCAGCTAACCCCCCAACATAAGCCACCAAAACCCCTGAGGGCTAATGTCTGTCCAGCAGATGCCCCATGGGAACAGAGGCCCTTCTTCCCCACCTAGCCCAGTGTGAGAATCCAAAGAGTCAATGGGGCTAGCCCACCATCAACCTGCGTCCTTCATCCTCATAGGAGGCACCTAGAGAAAAACACCATGGAGCCCCTACCATGACACCCACTACAGCCAGGAAGAGGGCCGGCCACTTGAGGGAGACACCTCAGTACACCAGCCTCACCCCAAACTGAAAGGGAAGCCCCTCCTGAGCCCAAGTGGGCAAATGTAGGCTCCAGGAGGCCAAGGCCAGGTAGGGGCAGAGCCCCCCTGCAAGCTGGTGGTCCTTCCAGGCCTGCAGGGGCGGCTCACCTGGAAGATCTTCTGCACAATCCAGCCGTGGTACTTCTTGAGGGCCATCTCGTAGGCCTTAGTGGCGTTGACGCGGATGAGGTTGGGGTGGTTCTCGTCCCGCTCCCCGTCACAGATGCTCTGGAGGAAGACCTGGATGAAGCGGAGGCCTCTGTGGCCCAGAGAGGAGATGGTTTCTGAGGACCCTTCATGTCCTGCCTCATCAACGAGCCAACACGCCCCATCACAGTGGGCCCAGATGTGCTTAGAATTAAACCGGGAATGTGTACACACAAAAGGGAGTGCTTGGCCGGACACAGTGGCTCATGCCTGTAATCCCAGCACTCTGGGAGCCTGAGGCAGGTAGATCACTTAAGTTCACCAGTTCAAGACCAGCCTGAAGAAGAGCGAGACCCCATCTCAAAAAAATAGCGAGACGTGGCAGGCACTTGTAGTCCTAGCTACTGGGAGGTTGAGGCAAGAGGATTGCCTGAGCCCAAGAATTTGAGGTTGCTAGGAGCTATGACACCATGAAACTCTACCAGGGGCAAGAAAGTGAGACTTTGTCTCAAAAAAAAAAAGGTGGGGGGGAGAGGGGAGAGACTCAGTGCCTATAGCTCAAGCAGCTAAGGCATCAGCCACATACACCAGAGCTGGCGGGTTCAAATCCAGCCCAGGCTTGCCAACAACAATGACAACTACAACCAAAACATAGCCGAATGTTGTGGCGGGCACCTGTAGTCCCAGCTACTTAGGAGGCTGAGGCAAGAAAATCGCTTAAGCCCAGGAGTTGGAGGTTGCTGTGAGCTGTGATGCCATGGCACTCTACCCAGGGTGAAGGCTTGAGGCTCTGTCTCAAAAAAAGGAGGGGGAGGGGAAGTGGTTATTCCTGAATTGCTATCTTTACCTTCTGCTTAGAAGCCCAACTCAAAATCTCTCCAGCACTTTCTCTCCACTAAGGCTGGTGCTAGCCCACTAAGGCTGGTGCTAGCCTATGACAATAGTCCCTCTGGCTATAAAATCCCTGAGGGTAGGGTCTGGGCCTGCCCTGTCCCTTTCGGTGTCCACATGGCTTCTCATGGGTCAGCACGTGGCAGGCAGCCATCAATGCTTGAGGAATGCACTGGTGTCTGTTCAGCAGATGCCCCCATGGGGACATCTGGCCCCTCAAAGGGCTCACGAACCACGGACCATGGACAGACTAGGGAGACGGGGCCTGTGTTCGCCTGGGCTCTCCCTTTCCCCTACAGAGGGGAGGATCTCCCTAAATCAACTACATTGCTCTGTCTGAGACTATGCAATGGCCTCATCTCCCTAAGCCAATCTGTACCCTACAATAGCCACTTTAGCCCTTCTTCAAGGGGTAGGGTGATGCTTTGAGAGCCAGAGGGCATGAGGTTCAGCAGAGAGCCTAAATTAAAAATCTGCCCAGCACCAGCCCTTTTGTGGACACCATCTCCTATCTTGCTCCCCTCAGCCCTGTGAAGCTGAGCTCGGCACAATCAGTCCTTTTCACAAAGAAAAGCACTGAGGCTCTCCCAAGAGGCTTAGTTAACAGGCCAGGATGTCAACCCAGCCAGCCTGTCTCCCAGCTGGGACCCTTCCCTCACTGCCCCTCACTGTCCCACTGTGGTCCTCAGATAAGTTGCTCTGCTCCCTTCCTGCAGGAGGCTGGGGATCAGGTCAGAGCAGGAGTACTGGGCTTAAAGACTGAAGAGTCTGTAGGTGGCAGGGAACAGTGTGGGTTCACATCAGAATGTCTGCCCATCACCCCCCACCCCAGCCCATAGATGCGTTGTGCAAATTTGATAGAACTTCTCCTCATGATATGTATTTCTGTCAAACTATCATAATACACAAATCTACCTTGTGCATGATGTGACCAGCCCTAAACAAGAAACCCCTGTGCTGTACACAACATGCACAACTGTGCTTGGATGACCTGGGCATGTAATTTGGCTTCTAGAAGCCCTCGTGGCTGCCTCTGTGAGATAAGGATCTAACTCACAGTGCATGAAATCCGATCAGGCATACAGAACTCAGCATGATGCTCAGAATGGAGTATGAGCTCGCTTGCTATGCTCTGACGGGAATGGGACAAGGAAATGACACTGACAGGCAAGCCCTGGCTCTTGGAAGCCTTTTCTTGGGCCATCAATTAGCGTCACACCTGAAGGGCTAGGGAGTAGCCTTCCCTCCCTAGAGCAGAGCAGAAATCTAGGCAGCAGCAGGCTTTGCCCCTCCACGCCCCACAAGACTCCAGGTTCTCCAGGCATAGTCACCTGAGCCCATTACCTTTTCAGCCACATCAGTGCCAGTGTGGCTCCCACTTTGGGCCACTCTGCTCCATACATTTCTTTCTCCACTTCTAGGATGTTCTGCAGGGTCCGGAACTTGGTTGGGTTAGTGTCGTACACAGCTTTGATTTTCTGAAATAGAGCACATGGGGTTTTTCCCTTGGAAAGGCTGCTGCCACAGGTGCCTGGCCAGTGGGCTGGCTGAGAAAGTGCCCAGCTGGCATTTCCTTGTCCTTCCTGCCTGCCAGGTACAAGACACGTAACAATAACTACCACGACTGTTCATGTTGATAGAGCACCTTCCATGAGCTGGGACATGCACTGCCTTACATGATCCCTATGGCAACCCTAGGGTTACTCTGTCATTATCCCAATTTACAGACGAGGACACTGAGGCTCAGAGAGGGGCAAGGAGGTGCCCAAAGCCACATAGCTGGTCCAGGAGGGAGTGGGTCCCAGCCAGCTCCTGAGTCCATGTTTCCTAACCACCACTGACACTATCTCAGACACCCAGTATCTGAAGTATCACTTTGGTGGACAAGGGCTCTGGGAGTCAAGAGATATCCAGGAACAAAGGCCTCTGAATTGGAACCAGGTAGGCCTGGGTCTGAACCCTAGCTCTGCCATTTGCTGTGTGACTTCAAGCAAGGACTTCAAGCACTCTGAACCTCTGTTTCCTCGTCTGTAAAAAGGAGGCAGCAAAAGAACCAGCCTCAAATGCTGCTGGGATGAAAAAATGATATAATATAGTGTGTCCCAAGCCCTAGGCTGGGCCCTAACTGGATCCCCATAGGGACAGGTGCTATGGGTGGGGCTTGGCATCAGGGATTCCCAGGACTGGGGAGGGGGGAGAGTCAGGCTGATGCCACCCATGGACTTTGGCGTTTAGTTATTTGGTGGAGTGGATGAAAAAAATCTATGAGTTCCTCCTCAAGGCCAACCCTAGACTTCTGTTTCAGCCAGGCTGTGACCAGACAGCACCATTGCAAAGGACTGAGAACCCTGAGTCAGCTGATGGGGCCAAGCCTCTTTCTTTGTCTCTTTCCCTTTGCTTAGGCTGGGGAGCTGGCAGCTAGGGGCAGGGCACTAGTGACCCCAGGCGGGGTTTAGATTCCTGATGGAGGTGCCAGGGCTGTAGCTGCCAGGCCATGTACGTACCGTGATGTTGCCACTTATATCTGCCTTGATGGGAGTAAACACTGGGGACCCAAGGCAATCTGGGGACAAAACAAGAAGAGAGGTTTAGACTCCCAACGAGAGTGATATCTAGGACTACCTCGGGCCCTGAAGGCCAGGGGACAAGAGAGGAAGTCTTGTGGTGTGTTTGGTGTGTCCAGGGGAAGGCAGAGTTGTTCGCAGGTGTTCCCAGGCGGGCTGGGGCACATCACCCCAGCTTTCCATGCTTCCTGAGCTTTCTCACTCTCCTCACTGCAGAGTCCAGAAAAGTGGGCTCGCTAAGCCAGATACGCGGCTCAGGTGACAAAGACCCCAGCAGGCCAGAGATGGGCTCCAAACCCTCAGGAGGGAAAACACCAAAGCCCATGACACTAGGCAGGGCCTCTGTGTAGGCACCAACTGCTGGAGGCCTGAGGGAGGAACTTTGCAGGCCAAATTCCACCCAAGGTGACCCAGCACCCTAACCAGTCACCTGGAACATTCTAATTGCAGCTGTGAAGACATGCATGGGAGAAACAGCATTAGACACTTAAACCCAATGGAAAGGAGGTGGTCTAGAGATTCAGACAGACGGGCTATGAATCTTCCCCCTACTTCTCTGCTAAGCAAGCCTCCTAGTCTCTGTGTGCCTCAGTTTCCTCACATGTCAAATAGGTCAGTAACAGTACATAATTCTCAAGGTTGTCACAGAAATTAAAAATAATAGATTAGGCAGATAGGCTCAAGCCTATCACCCTAGCACTCTGGGAGAATAAGGTGGGAGGACTGTCTGAGGCCAGGAGTTTGAGATCAGGTCTGAACAAAAGTGAGACCCCATCTCTACAAAAACTAGAAAAATTGGCTCAGTGCCTGTGGCTCAAGCAGCTAAGGCACCGGCCACATACACCTGAGCTGGAGGATTTGAATCCAGCCTGGGCCCACCAAACAACAATGACGGCTACAACCAAAAATTAGCCAGCCATTGTGGCAGGCGCCTATAATCCCAGCTACTTGGGAGGCAGAGGCAGGAGAATTGCTTAAGCCCAGGAGTTAGAGGTTGCTGTGAGCTGTGATGCCATGGCACTCTACCCAGGGTGACAGCTTGAGGCTCTGTCTCAAAAAAAAAAAAAAAAAACTAGAAAAATTAGCTGGGTGAGGCTTAGCCAGGTGGATCACTTGAGCCTAGGAGTTTGAGACTGCAGTGAGCTATGATCATGTCACTCTAGTTTTGTGACAGAACAAAACTCTATCTCAAAAAAGAAATAAATAAAAAATAAAATAAAATAATGCATTAGACACATTTAGCAGAGTGCCCGGTACGTGGGCAATACTCAATACATTGACTCAATACATAATCATTTTTATGACTTCATAGCATTACCAGGGTCAGGCTCTATGGTCCAGCAAAAGTCACCATGCATGGAAGCCACACAATCCCCCAGAGCCTCTGCTGAGAGGGAATCATACCCAACCTGTGCCCTGTGCCCCTTGCCACTCTCCACTCTCCTGCTAAGGTCCCACTGTGGACCTGCCAGGCTGCCCTGTCCTGCTGCAGCATCCTGGGCTTTCTCCTTTCGGGGACGGAGCCTCCTTCTAATCCCTATGGAGGCAAATCTCCCCCAGGGGGTGCACTAGAGCCTCTCCCTGGGCAGCCATAACGCAAACTGCTCATTGGTTCTGGGTCAGTGGTCCAGGCTGAGCGTTCTGGTCTCCCAGACATGCCTGCCAAGAACATTGATGAAGTGACTATTTCACCTCACCCTTTAACCTTACTTGATGTGCCACTGATCTCCACTGGCCTGGGGAGGTCATGCAACTTGTTAGCCTCTTAGGAGGTATTTTCTCCCAGCACCTCCAAAGAACAACACGTCCTAGAAAGCTCTCCATCCTTACCTGTCAAAAATGTACAATGAGCCAGGCACAGTGGTGCACACCTATAGTCCCTGCTACTCAAGAGGCTGAAGTGAGAGGATGAGTTGAGCCAGGAGGTCCAGGCCAGCCTGAGCAACATAGTGAGACCCTATCTCTTAAAAAAAAATGTATAATGTCCAAAAGTTTACACTGAGTTGATGTGCATGAATGGAGGACAGATAGACAGGCATAGCAGAATATTAATGGTGAAACTTAGGTGGTAAGTGTAAGAGTATTCACTGTAAAATTCTTCCAACTTCCCTGAATGTTTCATTTTTTTTTAATGGACAATATTGGGGAAAAGGTCAGGGTGCTTTATGCTCATAAAAGCTGTATTTCTGGCTCGGTGCCTATAGCTCAGTGCCTAGGATGCCGGCCACATACCCGGGTGCTGGTGGGTTCGAACCTGGCCTGGGCCTGCCAAACAACAATGACAACTACCACAACAACTGCAACAACAACAAAAATAGCTGGGTGTTGTGATGGGTGCCTGTAGTCCCAGCTACTTGGGAGGCTGAGGCAAGAGAATCGCTTAAGCCCAAGAGTTGGAAGTTGTTGTGAGCTGTGATGTCACAGCACTCTACTGAGGGTGACCAAAAAAAGAAAAAAGCTGTATTTCTTTCCCCTACTCTTTCTTTCAACTCCATTTCACTATGACAGTGATTATAGCCACATGGGTAATGCTATGTTTACCAGCTATCTGGTCCACCCAGCTTGAGCTCTGAAAGGGCAGGGACCAAGTTGCCTCCATTCCCTGCTGAGCCCCTACCACCCAGCCAGTGCCTGACCCCAGGAGGTGCCTAGGTGACATCTGTGGAATGAATGCATGAAAGGACTATGAGGAATGTGGAATCTATTGGAGTATCTCCCTGCCAGGCTCTTTGCCTATGCATTCTGTTGTAGTTCAGATCTACCTAACCCAGTGGTTTTAAGCATCATTCAACCAAGATGGAGAGGACATGTGAAGGGTCTTGAGCCTCAGTTTCCCTGCTAATAACATGAGAATCCTAGTAAGACGTCTTCTGCTATAAGGGGGAGAAGCATCACACACACAAAATAGGTGTTCAGAGGAAACCAGGGCTTGAGGGCTTGAGGACAGACAATCACCAACCATGGGTGGTGGTTTGTTAGCTTTTCTCAGTGACTTGGGTCTCTCAACATGTATTTCAGAGATGCAGAAAAATGTTACTCAGCGTCGCTGGCTCTGAAAATGGCTCTTGTGCAGTTCCGGGCAGCCCTGCCCTGGTGGTGGGGAGAAAGGCTTTTTGTTTTGTGTTCTCCTGACAGTGCGTTCCGAAGGTCACGAGGCCGCCGTGGTCAGCGGGAACTGGGCCCCTACAGCAGCTATCATTGTGTGTTATGGTCACCACCCAGGGCCAGAGCTTCTGCTCGACTGTAGAGGGAGAGCGTGGTGCCTCAAGTACATTTCCGAGGCTGGCACCCAGCAGAAGCAGAATGGAGTGGCAAGACAGACTAGAAGAGAGGGGAGGTGAGGCAGGGGCGGGGATCATGACCTCAGAATCCACTTCCACATCACACCTAGAAGGAGCTGCCAGCAGGACAAGCACCTCTCTATGTATCTCTCTACACACACCAATGTGCACACTGAAGTCGGTTTGGGTTTGGGAGTATCTGGAAGTGAGCTGCCTGTGATTCACAGAGCAGTGGCACAGTGCTTTGACTCTTGGCTCTGGTGTGAGCATGGCCATGTCACCTAACCACGCCAGGCTCAGACCTTTCTACAGGCCAGAGGGGCTGTGCATAGAGGAAGTGCTCTACTCCTATCTGGCTCCACTCCACTGGCTAAAGCCTGATGCAACATCACACCCTGAAGGCTGTTATTCTATGTTGGTCTTTGATGCAGTCCAAGGACACCAAGCCCAGAGGCACTAACAGACTTGCCCAGGATCATACTGTGAGGGCCACAAAGCCAAGGCTGGCTCCACTACGCCCTCACCTTTCTTTCTAGAATGTTTCCATCTATTTGTGTGCACTCAAAGAAAATGGGAAAACTCTAATATGTTAAGACGATTCTAATTCCTAAGCACATGGTGGCCTTTCTAATAGTTTAAACTCAAGCTTGTGCCTGCTCTGAACAGGTCACCCAGCCTTACCTTTCCTATAGAATGCAGCCCTGCCCCAAAATTACCCTTCTTGTCTGACCAGTTTTGCAGTTACCCCAAACTTGTTTTTGCTTTTTTTTTTTTTTTAATAGTTGTCAGCAAACAGGCTCTTTAAAATGCAATCCAGAACCTGTTTGCCTGGAGGGAGGAAGGACACTTAGGGAGTTTTCTAGTTTATCATCATACCTCCGGGGAGAAAGGAAGCCATCATCAGGCAGTGCCCCTAGCTCAGTGGGTGGGACACCAGCCACATGTACCAGGGTTGCCAGGGCTGGTGGGTTTAAACCTAGCCCAGGCCTGCTAAAACAAAAAAATAGCTCGGCGTTGTGGCAGGCACCTATAGTCCCAGCTACTTGGGAAGCTGAAGGAAGAGAACCACTTGAGCCCAAGAGTTTGAGGTTGCTGTGAGCTGTGACACCACAGTACTCTACCGAAGACAACAAAGTGAGAATCTGTCTCAATTAAAAAAAAA